TGGAAGCCTTGTCATGATGTAATAATCTGGCTGTAGAGGACATGGTGATACATCTCCTGATCCATATATTGCCCCTTCTTAGTTTTTATGTGGTTATGTGCTGGTCACAGCCAAGGACAGCATTGGGTAATCCTAACAAATAATATTAAAAAAAAATAAAGTAAGAATCTTTCGGTTCTTGTTGAAAGGATTGGGTTTGGCCTCTAACCTTGTCTATTGTGGGTATGACTGAAAACCCAAATCAGTCTGTTTAAATTTTATGTCCAACAAAAACCGCATGAGGTTTCAGCCCCAAACCTCGACAGCAGTAAGAGTCTGCCATAAAGATAATCAAAAAGATAATCAAATAAAGATAATCAAAGATTTATACACTTTGAGACCTCTCACTATCTCCTATCAATAAAGCTGTCGAAACAGCAACATGTAGCGAGGCATGCCACGCTAAATCCCTGATTTATATGGTGTCATGAAGACATTCCTGAGCTTATTTTCCCATCAGATTGTTACTACAGATCCAACGGTTCAGCAAATAGTTAGTCTCACTCAAAATGGCATTACAATGCTAACAAAGTAGTTTAGACTATCTGGAAAGACATTCAGAGTTGCTCAGAGTACATTATTGTTGTTCAGATTGGATCACCCATGATCCAACAGAAAGCCAACGTACTATTTATTTTTTTATGAGTCCATTCTTCAGGCTACTCTATTTGTCACATTGTGTGTGTGTGTGTGTGTGTATTTATGTGTCTGTGTGGTCGGATGTCTCATGCCTGTTTCTGTAAGTTCTGCATGCAGCACAAGTAGTGAGCAGGGCAGAGTGTGAAGGGGTTTGTTTCTACAGACATTGGAAAAGCTGAGTATGAACTTAAAGGGAATACTTAAGACAAAATGTTACGCAGATATCAAAAAATACCTAAATTTAACACTAAATTTAATGCAGTGACATTTAAAACAAGAACTACTGTGTCTCACGAGAAGGCATTAATTTCAAATGAATGTTCTAGACATTTGAATACAATGCATGTCCAAGGTTTTAAAAAACTGATGTTTAGGTTGAGTTATGTTCAACAAACTATGGCTGCAGCAGTTCCTAATTTAGTGCTGTACTTATTAGTTTTGTTAGAATCCTACAATGGCACAGTACTGCAGTACTCCCAAGTTTTCTGCTTAAAAAAATGCTGATAGCAGACTATGTTTCTCCCAGTCTGATGTTTTTCCATCTGACTGGGAGAAACTGCATCGGCTGGCTTATTCTGAGCACTTTTATCTGCTGAACTACAAATACTGCTTCTCAAAGCCACCATTGGCTAAAAGGCCAGGGGAACATTTGAGGCCTGCTAAAGGTCAACAAGCATTATCGCAAGAGGGGATTTTTATCAGCAGCTCATCTGGACATTGTCAAAGCACCCCGTCTCGCCTGGCCACTGTGCTGTGCTCAGTTCAGTTTTTAAGGCTCTGCGAGGGAGTTTTATGCAAATTCTCTGCAACAGCCTGCGAATCAGTCTGTCTTTGGGTAGAATCGGGTTCCACGGCTTCCAAAATTGATTGCAGACTTCGAAAAGCCTATTATGATTATGCAGTAGGTTACGAAACCCGTGGCATGGCACTCAAAGGGGCCCTTGCTGATTTATCTACGTTTTTGTTCTAAACAGATGTCGTCACTCTTCACCACAAAGTAAGAAGAGAAGGGTTGGGTGGGGTGGGGGTGGGGGGCGGAAGGTTGTCAGACGTGTCAGTGCTCAAGAAATTCAATTAAGCAGACAGTGGGATATCTGCAAAACGCAGTCTCTATAGAGCTTAATAGCCCCTCCAGGAAACCCCATCGTGCCTCTCCAAAGCGTCCCAACCAACCCCTTGTTGCCATTCTGCCACTCCCCCCCAAAACCCAAAATCTACTTAGAAACCCTTGCTTAGGCTCCTCTTCAGATTATTTATCATTCAAAAAGATAGGAATTTTCCAATGAGGATAGAACTAAAATCAGTAGAGAAAGATTCTGTTTGGCAAAAACAATGCAGTACCCTATAGTATACTTATTTTATCCACATTCTCTTCCTCCTCTCTGACTGTATATACATCTCACAAGCAGACAGATGCTGTTCATTTAGCATCTGAGTGGCAATCCCAGAGCTGGTGTCCTGAATGCCCAGGGGAGCCTGTGGCATTTGGACAACATTAAATAAAAGCCACTCCAGACCTCACACCATGGGGGGAGATCCAACCTCACAACACGGTCACTCCTCTCAGATTTCAACCAGCCAACTGAGTAAATCTTTCCCAGTGGAAGGAAAAGGAAAAAAAAAAAAAGAAGACCATTTTCCCTCCAGTCTGGCACATCGTGAAGCCTGTGTCATGACTAGGTTTCTGTCTGAGAGAGTGTTGAAGGGAATTATTCACTGAAGAGGAAAACGGTGTTTTGATCCGCGTGCTTCCTCTCCCAGTGATCTAACGTGCAACAAACAGCGAGGCGGCATCAGGGGAGGATTGCTTTGTTGCCGTTATCAAATGGCATCTTAGGAGATGTCAATTGTGTTCCCTTCGAAATTCATCTGTTTACAAGGATGACAGATTTGTGAGCCTGCGCCATGTGCTCTACCAGATAGCATCAAGTCGACAGAAATGTCCAAATGAAGTTAGCTTTTCCACATATTTGCAGTGCCTTGCAAAAGTAGAAATGCCAGGAGTGCATCGATTTCAGTTTTCTGGCCGATCGCCGATTACCGAGCTTTTAAAAGCCTGACCAGCCGATTCCGCTGTTGGCCAGTGCCAGTTTTCTGTCTTAAATGTCACAAAATATAGCAAGAAAGTAAATGAGTTAGTAACAATGGGGTGACTAATGTTAACTGCAAACCTGTAGACGTGACCTGGTGGGCCGCTCTGTCAGTCAAACCTCTCTCATGGTAGAGCAGAAGAGGACAGTGGTTGATTTTTAGACCTTTGCTGAAGTAGATAAGGGGATAAGATTGGCTTCACACGTAAGTAATGGCCGGTAATGGATCTCCCAAAATCAAGGAAACTGGCGCCCATAAATCGGTGCACCCTTAAAAAAAAAGAAGACAGTGGGATGTCTTCTTTTGGGGATGTCTGCAAAACCCTGAACTTTTTACCTTTTTGCATTTCACTTGAAAATGTGAAATGCAAAACATTTAGCACATAAAGCAGAAGGAAAAAGATGCATATTTAAATATTTTTTTCAAAAACTACTGATTATATACAGTACAGTGCATTTGTATTCAGCACCATTTACTCTGATACCCCGAATAAAAACCCAGTGCAACCAATCAAAAAGGCATCCAATTGGTAAATATGCCCCTGTGTGTGTGTGATTACATTCCAATTTAAAACAGAAGCTATAAGAAGTCCTGCATAAAGTTTGGTTGATGACACCCAAATCTAGTTTTGTGGCCAAAGCACAGTATGCATGTGTACGGTGGAAAACTGAAACTGCACATTACTCTGAACGTGATCCTATGGTGAAACATGGTGGGGGACGCATCATGATGCGGGAATTTTTTTCCTTAGCAGTGACAGAGAATCTGGTCATGGATGAACTGGAAGATGGATGGAGCTGAAAGAACAATCCTGGAAAAAAAAACTACAAATCTCCCTCCAGCAGGGCAACAACATCAAATAAAAGCATAAATAACAGCATGTAAATAAAAGCATATTGATGTGCTGGAAAGATCTAGTTAAAGTCTAATTGTGAAATGTGGTAATTCAATCTAACTGAGTGCTACCTGCTAATATTTTGCAAAATAATTGGCATAAATTTGAAAAAAAGATTTGCATTGGTAATTTCAATGGTGGTTTTACATATCGACTCAGGTGGGCTACATATAATTGGGATGCCACGTACCAATTATCTTCCAATTCATACTGATGCACATTATATCACTTAAAATGCCAGTAAAATCCAGACGTTTCTGGTTTTCGCATGATAAACACAAGGACTGTGCATGACTCTGTGGTAAATCCCTTGGGCCAAACAATGTCGCACACATCTGTTGAAACAGCAGCTCGGAGCGGCTCTAGGACACGGCAGGCACAATAGTGAGGTTACATAACAGGAGTCAAAAACTGCCCTAGCTGCTGCACGTGACAATATCTGGATTAAGGGCTCCCTCTGCTCTCTCTCGCGCACGGATTCATCTTTTTTTTGTATCTGTTACCTGCACGGCTTTATCAAGCACACAACTCCAGGAATGTCTGATGGATAACATGCGCCCTAGCGACCTGATCCGAGTCCTGCCACTGCCCTGTCCTAGTAAATAAAAGTAAAGCCTCAGTGAGACAGAGAGCTGTGTTGTTGTTGTTGTTTTTTTTTTACTCCAGTGAAGAGTTTATTCCATTCGTTAAACATATCATGGAGGAGCCAAACGAGGCTTAGTGTCCTCATGTCCCATCATGGCATTTGTGGCTTTCTGGTCATGTATTTAGATTTCGCAGGGACATTGATGTCTGGGCCCGTGCCACGCATGTCAAAATAGGCTGAAGAAGAGAGGCGCTCTCTCTTCTTCCAATCTCAGAGACGGCGGTGATTGCCAGTGCCTCATCTCAAAGCTATTAAGGCTTCTTGAGAACCAAGAGTGCACTGACCTAAATCAGGGCAGACCTCAGAGGATGGGTTAGCTCAGGACTGGGGAGGTCTTTTAGGGATGCAGTGTCCACCTTTATCACTCCAAAGATAGCATGACGATAAAGGTAGACCCAAAATACTCAATGGTAAGAGGTAATTGTAAGTGGTCTTTACTTGTCTAGGGCTTTATCAAGTCCAGATGACCCCAAAGCACTTCAGATTACATTCATTCACACGCATGTTCACATGGCAAGCTACTGGCTAGTAGCCACAGGTGCCCTGGGGCAGACAGAGAGGAGAGGCTGCATCCGGCACCACTGGGCCCTCTGACAACCTCCAAATGGCAACTATGATTTGGAATTTCAAGAACCAGAGGGACTTTTGACGAGTGCTTGACTAGGAAGTTTCCCCCATGAGCGTACTCACCGTTGAGTCCGTTGGGGATGCTCCTGTGATGATGTGGAGCTGACAGATCATCCATCGACCTCCTCATGGTGGGCATCTTGCTGTTTTCCGAGGGCTTGTGTACATGGTTGTGATTGTGGTGATCCGGGCTGCCCGCGCTCCCCGTGCTGGACGTGCTGCTCCCGTCTCCGACGTCCCTCACCGTCCCCGCGCCGCCGTTCAGGTTGCTGAGGCTAGACTGGCTGTCTATGGAGCTCCTGGAGCCGGCCCCGTTCCTCTCCTCGTCCAGCATGAGGATGATCTCCTTCAGCTCAGAGTTCTCCCTCAGCACGCTCTCCTGGTTGGCCTCCAGCTCCTTGAGCTTCATCATGTAGGCCCCCACCTCCTTCCACATGGCGCTGGCAGTGTAGCGGCCAAAGCGCTGCCACTCCCGGGACAGCTTCTTGCCCTTCTGCCTGTCGTCGTCCAGGAAGCAGCAGAGCTCCCGGAGCTCATGGTTGTCATCCTGCAGCTTCTGGTTGACCTCCTTCAGGCTGCGGATCTCGTGCAGGTGCAGCTGCAGCCGCCGGTTGATGTCTTTCATCATGTTGCCGTGCTCGATCATCAAGTTCATTTTCTCGCCGTCGACCCTCCTTAGTTTCCTCACCAGCTCCTCTTTACTGCACCGCAGCAGGTCATCGTCTGTCAGCTGGCTCAGGTCATCCTTGGCCCCCTCAGAGGGATTTTTAGCCATGGCTGTAGTCTGAATCTCAGTTTGTGAATCCTGTGGCTCGGAATTTACTGCGAGGACCCGATTCGACCCGACCTGAGCTGAGGAATGGTGATGAGAAACGAGCACATTGTCCAAAAAATGTGAAGATGCTGTTAGGCTCTGAAAGGAGTGGAAATATTAATGTGATGCTATGGCAACCTGTGCATGAGCTGAATGCTCTTCCCCCCAAACCCTTTTGATCTGGTAAATAAAAGCCTCACTGGAGCTCAGAGACAACTGTTGGTACTCACATTTCTCCAGTAATTACTGTTTGTGTTTAGATATTTATTCAGAGGAATTCCCCAACCAGGTCCTATTAGTCTCAAGCGACAAGTCCAGTCAGCACACCGCGTCCCACAGCTTAGACACCATCCGCGCTGGACATCACTCCACTCAAGTGCTTATACAAAAATAATAAGCAAAAAACAAAAAACAAAAGGAAGAAGAAGAAGAAAGAAAGAAAAAAAGCGGGTTGATTTCAGAGAGGTCCGCGAGCGTGAAAGAGAACTCAGTCCGTGTCTTTCCACCTTTCCCACCGTCTGGACGCGGTAAGCCGTCAGCAACAGCGCTTCTCCGCGGATAAGACCTCTGTCATGAGATGGTGCGTTCGGTGGACTGAGAGGGCTCCGTCTCTTCCACCCTACCCAGTTTCCAGCGAACACCTCCCTCCTCTTCTCCTCCTCCCGCTCTTCCTCGTCTGTGTCCAAAGTCTTCGGATTTGAAATCATTCAAGGGGATTTGGCTCCAGAGGGCCAATCAAGACGGAGGAGAGAGGCAAGACAGCAGGTAGATGAAAAGTGCGCTTCAGACTCAGAGCTGTGGAAGCTCGGCCCTCTTAAAGCAACAGCACGGTGCGTTCAAGCCACCACGGAAAAAAACCGGAACAAAATGGTTAATTATTTGAAAATACTCTAAAATCTAAATGGAGCAATACTGAAAAGACGTATTTATGTGCAGAGCCAGTGCATGTTTTTGTGGTATATATAATAAAGCCATGGCAGCCTAAATTACAATAAGTATACAACTGTATATAAACTTATATACAGGATATTGTACAATTGTATAAATATATATAATTTATATGCAAGTATATAAATTGCATATGATTTATATACAATTATACATTACATTTATAATTGCATATAAATATACAATTATATTTATAGAAATAAATTAATTTTGTTTATAAAAGACTAAAAAAGAGTAAATATACAAGTCCTAATCGTAATGAACCATGTTCTTAATGCATTTCCACTATCTGAAATACTTTTAAAATTGCGTTTTAAAATTATTAAAACGGAATTTTAGATGATCAGATTTGTTTGATGATCTGAAACATTCAGTCATGTCAAAAAAAAGACAAGAATCAATATACTCCATTAAATAATGTGTTATTTTCTTTTTATAATAAATGATAACAGGTTCATGTCTATTCATAGTTTATGGCCTAAATGTCATGCAAAAAAAACAAAACAACAACAACCAAGATTTAAACCATTTCCCTCAGTGTTCTAACTCTAATGAAAATGTTAGGTAACGGTAAGTTAGCTAGTGGCTACTACGATACTTCCTCTGGGTAAAATAACTTTAGTAAGCTGTGTCCTGTAGCAATCCATTAGTCGTTGATATAAGTCTTAGGAAATTTGACCAGTTTTGAGATGTTTGAGGGGTTTCTTACACATACAGCCCAGTAGAAATCATGGTGAATTCAATGATGATGAACTAGCCAGGTCCCACTGTCAACAAAACATCCTGAAACCATGACACTTCCACCTCCATGTTTCACAGTTGAAATAAGGTTCTTCTCCTGGAATGTTAAATCTGTTTTTTATGCCAAACATGTCCTCTGTTTTGTTGTCTGCGAATTCAATTCTGTCCAAAAACATTATGCCTAAAGTTTTTTTTTTGCCTACATTATGTCTGACCTTCATGTCTTACCAGAATGATTCAAAGCATAAATATTCATTATTGCTACCTTTCTGTTATTTTGTCAAATATATGTACAATCACTGTTTCAGAATTGTTTCTTAATAGCAACCTATGAAAATTTTACATAAGGGTGTCTATTTTAAAGTATGAAGTGCAGACAATGTACAAGCTTCCGTTTGCTGAGCTAACTTACTTGAAAATTCCACCAAAACAAAAATTATATATTTGTTTATTGTAAATTCAAGAAAGCAAAAGCAAAACATATCAAGTCAAATATTACCAAAGACCGATACACAGAAAAGAGCAAAGAAAAAAATAGGCAAAAGGAGAGACTTCGTATGTCTAACATCCAGATCAGCGGGAAGATGTCTTAGGAAAAAAAGAAAATTCAGTGTTTGTTTGTTTCCATTAAAGCATTTTCAGAAACGGTAAAATTAATTACATGTTAAAAAATTACTAAAAAATGTGGGGGATGTGTTTGCAACCCGGCTTTCACATGATACAAATTTGAGTATAAGTAAAATCACATTAACTATAACCATGAAATTGAGTAAAAAATTGCAATGTCTCAGGAAAAGGAGTGACAAATTGATTGAATCTTTGGTTTCATCCATTTGTGAACATCAAGCCACAAAGTCTTCATTACATACATGAGAAAGTGATAGGGTAACAATCACATGTTATCACTCCTATACAACTACAGCCTATGCAGTTTGTTGAAAGGGTAGATCTCTTTTCAACAGTTCTGAAGTGGAGTTTTAGTTTTGTTCGCGTTTAACAGACGCTGTTCAGCTTTCACTTAAAAAAAAAAAAGCTAACAGCGCCCCCATGTGTGCGTTGTCAGGAAGTCAAATTACAGTGAACTGATAACCAGCACATTCTACCCAAAATAAACTTTTCTAGATATTTAAATCGGCAAAAAATAACCAAGCTGAAAGATTAATGCATGCACAAACAAATTTAAATATGCAAAGAAATTTGTTGTTCATTATGAACATCTTTTATCCCATGGACTGCTGTGATTTCTATTGTAAACCATTAGCATCGCTCAGTTTTTATATTTCCTGTGTTTGACGGTGCAGATCACTCCGCTCTTTGGCCTCAGGGTTCCAGTGTCCTGGACGTCAAAAGTCTGTCCTGGGATCAGGTTGAAATCGAACCTCTGGAGCAGCTTTGCCATCACCACTTTAGCCTCCATCTGAAAACACATAGGTATTTTTTTTATTATCTTAATATGTACCATTTGTATTTTTGGGTAGCACAATATCTTGACTCTGTCTGACCCACCTGAGCAAAGTTCAGACCCAGGCAGGACCGTGGACCCAGAGCAAAGGGATAGTAACAGTAATAGGGCCTTGTAAAACAAGATAAGAGAGAATATTTACTTCTTATTTCTGGCAAGACAAAGATGTGCAAAAGTCACTCCGAAAACAAAAAAAAAAAACCTGGCATGATGCAATGATTGTGTATTACTTACTTTGGAGCATCTGGATGAAATCTGTCTGGATCAAATTTCATAGGGTCCTTGAAGAACTTTTCCATTCTCCCAGTGGTATAGGTGCTAAACTGAGTATGACAGTGCCAGAATAATGAAAGAGATTTTACTTTAAATCCCAAATAAGTACATTGGGATGTTGTTATGTACGTTGTACGTTATTATGTAAGTGTGAAGAAGTTCAAGTGGTACGAAGACCATTGGAAGGGACTATAAAGCAGACAGTAGATCCATGAATTCAAGCCATGATGTGCAAAGTCATATAAGTGGAGCCACAAACTCACCGACATTGCCTGTTGTGACTTTATTGTCTTTAGTTTTGCAATAATTCATATTTTTGTTCTAATGAGGGACATTCAACAGCAAGGGACTCACCATGCAGTTGACTCCGGCAGGTATGTGGACGCCATCGATAGTCATGTCTTCCTCTATGTCACGGGACGTTCCTGGTGCAGTCGGGTAGATCCTCAGAGTCTCTTTCAGCACCTGAGCAACAATTACAAAAACAAACACGTCAATAAAGACAGAAATTAGATATAAACGTGCATAAAGACATAGAAGTAGCAACTAAAAGTTACCTGTGAGAGATAGATCAGCTTCCCGAGGTCATCATTGCTTATTTCTTGTTTCATCCCAATGACATCATCCACTTCTTTCTTTGCTCTGTAAAGTATAATCACGGCATAAACATCATGGCTCACTAACTGCACTAACAAGCAATGACAGAGCTAATTTTTGGTTCTTACTTCTCCAGGATGTCAGGATGTCTTCCAAGTTCCATGATGCAAAACGCAAGTTGATTGGCTGTTGTTTCTTGACCTAGAAAGAGGCAATTTTAGAATCACATTACAATGATCCAAAACTCAATTAGTCAAAACCTACTCTTTTGCAGATTTTAATGTAACGTAGTTATTCACTTTAACCCACTTTTGGTGATCATAGCCTATTCCGGTGTGCTGACTCAAACCCATAACCCAAACGCGAATTGCTAAGTCAACTTAGAGCAGGATCAGTCTATATCAAATCTAAGTTTATATTTAACCAAGCAGTTTTACGAGTAAAGAAACCATCATGGTAAAGAATTAAAACTTCTCACCAGCAATGAAAAATGTCACAAAATTGTCCAACATGAACTCCTCATCTTCTTCTGTCATGGTTTCCTCTGGAACAAGGAGAAAATTGACAAGTCAACCAACATCTTGGATACTGTGGGAAGTACTCCACATGCTAAGCTGTGTAAAATTACCCAATGATGAATGTTGCGTTAGAGCAACGGTTATTCTTATCATCCATCTTTTCATTCCCACCTGTGGCTGCAGTCTTGATGATTTGCGTGAGGATGTCCTTCGGAACTTCCTCCCCGTTTTGCATGGCGATCTTTCTCTTTTGGATCAGCTGAGCTCCGGTTGTGCGCAGCAGGCGACAGGCATCCCTCACTTCGTTAACAAACGTTCTGTTCCTGGGGTTGTACTGGAAGAGAAAACTCCAGTTACAGCGCCCTCGATCGTTGAAGAGCTCTTCTTCAACTGAACTGTTACCTCAAACATGACGTCTCTAACGTAGTGCACCATCCCTTTTAGGCAAGTCTCGATGGCCTTGGGGAAAGGTGAAGTATTCTTCAGGAGGTCTAATTCCATCCCAAAAGCGACCTGAGGTTTGACGGGGAAAGAAACACATTTTTCTCATTAAGCCAGACGGTCAGAGTCTATGGCAGGATTTATGTCGAATTTTACCTTAGCGATGACATCGAGCGTGACGCAGTTGACAAGTTGCAGCATGTTGGCCTCTTTGTTGCTATCGGCTAACTCTGAGAGCTTATTCATCAGTTTCTCTGCTCTCTCATTGAAGGTTCCCATTAGGCCTCTCAAGTACCTGGATGAAAAGATGCAAACCAAGAAACGTCACGCATAGAAGAAACCTTGCAAAAGTATTCATGCTGCTTACATTTGCCCCCCAACTTCTCACCACTAAATTGTTGAATTTATTGGGGTTAAATGTGATAGACAAAGATGGAGCTGTGGATAACAGCAATAAATGAAAAGAAGAAACAAACTTTCAGGTGTTTTAATCAGAGAAGCAGCCAAGAGGCCAATGATGAATCTGGATAAGCTAAAGTGACACATTATACTGCTGCCCTCTACAAATCTGTCCTTCATGAGAGAGTAGCCTAAAGAGGCAGAATGATGTATTTTCTAGGTACATGGTGCCGTTTTATAGCTGTAAAATACTGTATATATAAAATACAACTTAAAATAAATTTGACTAGGTGACTTAAAATTGACCTCTGTCTCTTTAAGAAGCTGTTGTTCTTTCCAACACCCCGCCTTCAGCACAACAATGCTTCTCATTATGTTGTTTACAACCATTCTGGACAGAGAAGTAGTTTGCATGGTGAACTCAGCAGACTTGCAGTTCCAACAGGTGTTTGCTAAATGTTTCTGACTAGTCTGGAGGAGAAGCTCTGTAGGGCAGAAGTTCAGCTGGAGACCGCAGCTCCCAGGAGGAGCTTCGTGGAAATGGGCGGAGCTTTTTGGGAGCGAGCGTTTAGTCACCGCCAAATGGTTGGCATGGGAGATTCAAGAATTCCTTAGGGATGCATGAAAGAATCAGACCAACACTAAAAATATGTTTTTGATGATAGGATAACATTATAAAGTGATATAAAGTAAATAATATATGTTGAATTTACATAGTTCCCCCCTTTAAATAAAGCCACTGTTGAAAAAGAGCCAACAGTGGCATTATTTAAGTCTAGAAGTCCTAGACGTCTAGGACTTCTAGACTAGTCCTAGACTAGACTAGAAGTCTAGTCTAGGAGGAGACTAGACTTCTGGCTAGTCTCCTCCAGATTAGCCAGAAGTCGGATATGACAAACATCTGGAGAAATGTGAAACGTGGTGGTGGCAAAAGGGAGATTGATTTAGGTTTATCCCCCCCAAATTGTTTTGTTTTCTTATGCCTGACAACAATTATTCAAAGATCAAATAATAAACAGAGACTGAATGACTCACAAGCTGCTGAAGGCAGGGTCCATGATCCGGCGCTGTTTGTACCACATGTCATGATCCCGAGCTGTTATAAGGCCATTGCCAAAAAGCCTGTAAAAACCAAAGGATTAGTTTCAATGTAATGCTTTTAACTTCTGGTTCACAAACTAAATGGATAACAGCACCAAAAGAGAAAGTCTTTTTTAAAATTTTTTATACTCAATGAATGTAAGAACAACCTTTGACCAAACAGATAAAAGAGCCTTTTGTAGACAAATTTGTCCTTGGGGTACTTTGGGGACATCAGGATTTCCTGAAACAAGAACCAATGAAATACAGGATAAATACAGATTTACATACTTCTGGTTTCACACTTGCAGAGACGTGCTTTCATTGTTCCTGAACTCTCACACCGTTTCTCTTGCAACACACACACACACCCATATTCACCTTTGTTGCTTCTGGACAGGTCACGCACACAGTAACGTAATGCAGAAAATTTAACCTGTAAACATGTCCGTAAGTTTCAGACCTGAAAATGACATGTTAACGATTACTTTTTTGAAGAAAGCACACATGCAACTAGAATCCTTTATACTGTAAACTGATTAGAGATTGTCTTTTAGTGAAGCAGAAATTTCCTGGAAAGCTCAGTGGACTAGAGCTCTGTGTGAACTTCCTGTGCTTACCATTCCAGGAACTTGTCATGAACTAGTCCATCTTTTTTCATAATCCTCAAGAGGGTTGGCGAGTGGCCAAGGAAGAAGCTGTGCAGAGAAAGGAAAAAGGAAAAAGAGGAAGTCAGAAGTAATGTTTCGCAGAGACCGGTAGCAAACACAACCCCGCTTGGCTTTACCTGTTCCTCGGCGGCCCTGGTATGTGATCATATTTCATGTGAATGTGTCTGAGGTACAGGCAGTAACCCAGAAAGGCGACGAAGAGCAGACAGCACAACAGGATGAGGGCTTTGCCAAGCAAACCCAAAAGGAGGTGGAAAACCGCCATTTTCCCAAACTGAGCTGAGAGCTTGTTCACGGACAGTAAATAGTGATCAAATCCAGGTCACTCCCCCTGAACTCTGAAACAGAAATAGTGTAATCAAAGTTCATGTTGCATTTCAGGTCAGGTAGGTGGTGCTGTAGAGAGCGAATCATTTCAGTAATCAGATATGAAGTGGAATTTCCTCTCTTTGTTCAGTTTACTAGATGATGTAGTTGGAGAGGCAAAATTTATGGGAATTTTCCATAGCCTTGTTCTAACAGCACACTTGCCTCCTAAATTTCCCACTCATATTAAATTTGAACTTGATCTTTCTTTTGCAAAAATACATCATAAATGACACACGTTTAATCAATAAGTACAATGCCATGATGTTCCACTGTTCAGTTCATAATCATCAACAAGTACAATCGTAGCAAATTTTAAGTTGCCCAAGTAGAATCCTTCTAGTAGACATTAATTTTATTCAATTCAATTTAAATCCTTATTGGTCACAAAAGACAATGAGTTGTCAAGGCTGACAGCTTTGGGCAGGAGGGACCTCTTCCTGCTGCAGTTTGGATTATAAAGAAGCCTCTGACTGAAGACGTTATGTTTTAATTTCTCATCTCAAGGATGTTCGGGGTTGTTCGGAATTTTCTTCATTTATGAAGAATCCCTATTTGCACCATCATTTTAAAAAATGTTCCATAGAAATTCTCAGAATAAAGAGAAACTAAGAATTTCTAGATAATTTAGAAACTGTGTACTGCTCTTTTTCAGACAAACCCTTTCGTTGCTGTATTGATAAGCTTTAGATTTAGGAACATTTTTTATTATTATTTTTGTCAAAAAATAATTTAGCCACGAGTCTGAAATCACAATTTTTCTTCCCTTCAGCCTTCTTACTCAAAGTTTGCTAAAATAAAATAAATAACGTACAGTTGATCCTTTATTTGCTTTCCCAACATTAACTTACCTTAGAAAGTTATTCGCTGTGCGCTTTCTTGCGGTCCAAATTTGCTTATGTATACTTTGGACCGTACCTTTGCTTTAAAAACAGTATGGTTTCCCATGACGAAGTCAAATAAATGCTTACTTCATTCTGCCAACAAGATTACAGCGCCCCCGTGTGTACACTTTCAGGAAAATCTTAACACAGCAAACAACATGGAGAAAAAACATTAACCACATGGAAAGAAAACAAAGAACATTTTATCAGTTACAATAACAGTTAGTTTTATTGATATGCGCTGATAGCATCTGATATTTATATGTTATTGTTAGAGGCACAAAAGGTGTAGTATTGTTGAAAATATTAATTAAAGACAAACTATTTTCAAGTTTACATAAAAACACTCTTAATCACAACAATAAAAGTGCAAGATAAAAAAAATCAGTTTCTGTTCAGTCTGAGGCAGGGGAAGAAACTTAACAGTTAGGATTATTTTTCATTTAATTTTAGTGGCAGAAACCTTTAGCATCACTTAGTTTTTATATTTCCTGTGCTTGATGGTACAGATCACTCCGCTCTTTGGCCTCAGGGTGCCAGTGTCCTGGAGGTCAAAGGTCTGCCCTGGGATGAGGCTGAAATCGAACCTCTGAAGAAGCTTTGCCATCACCACTTTAGCCTCCATCTGAAAACAAACCAATCCTTTGAGCTGGGATGACACATTTCACCATGCTGCAATATGTCATCTCTGTAAGTGTGTGGATGTGGCATGACGAAAGAGAAAAAGTTTAAGGAGGGTAAAATTTACAGTTTTTTTTTTTTTTTTTTTTTTTTTTTTTTTTTTTGTTCTGTCAGACCCACCTGAGCAAAGTTCTTTCCCAGGCATGACCGTGGACCGAGGGCGAAGGGAAAGTAGCAGTAATAGGGCCTTGTAAAAACAGAAAAGAGAAAACATGTCCTCCTTTCTCTAAAAGAAATATAAAGCTGGTATCATGTTACGTCTGTTTTTTGTTTTTTTTACTTACTTAGGAGCATCTGGGTGAAATCTGTCTGGATCAAATTTAAGAGGCTCTTTAAAGAACTTTTCCATCCTCCCCATTGCGTAGGAGCTCAGCTGAAATGTCACATGAAAGTAAACCGTTTCTCTTAAGTGGTGGCGAAACAGAAACACTGTAAAAACACAAACTCTTACCAAGTCATTCCAGTCTACTTTCTAGTGCAAATATCTTAGCACACCGGAAATAAGACAAAACTAACTTACAAGTAGCTTTTCAGCAAGAAATGTGAGTTTGTTTAAGGTCATTAATTCCTTAAAATTGATGAGAAAGTACTAGTTGTAAATTTGTTTTCTCTTACTGTAACTGTACTGAGACATTTGTACAAGAAACTAGACCAATTATACTTGGTAAGATTTTGTGTAATATATAATTGGTGAGACTCACCATACAGGTAAAACCTCCAGGCAGGTGGACACCGTCGATGATCATGTCTCCATGGATTTCCCGAGACGTGCCTGGAGCTGTCGGGTAGATTCTTAGTGTCTCTTTCAGCACCTTTAGTATGAGATGTAAACTCTTCACATTGAATAAACTGCTTAATCAAGATTGCATGTTATTTAGTTAAACACAATGAGCAGATGTTTAGTGGTAGACAAGCATCCAGGCTCTCTCAAGTACCTGTGAGAGGTAAACTAGCTTCCCCAGGTCATCGTAGCTTATTTCCTGTTTCATCCCGATGACATCATCCACTTCTTTGGTCACTCTGAAAATTATGGACATTATTTTAAAAACTTGCTTCACCCAATATTGCAAACTGTTGTCTGTTTTTTTTCCTTACTTATCCAGTATTTCAGGATGTCTTGCTAGTTCCATGATGCAAAACGCTAGCTGATTGGCTGTCGTTTCTTGACCTAAACACCAGGTTTCAAAGTAAACACTCTACGTTGTAAACTGTGTGTTCATATAAAGTCAAATGTAGATGTGTGGCATACATGCAAGAGAGAGAAAAAAAATAACATCAAAGAGGCAAAAGGTTGTGGGATGGACGCATGCAGATGATGTTACAGCACCCCGTAGTGGATGGGAATGAATAAAATACATTTCTTGCACCAGGAAAAAAAAAAAAAACTTACCTGCAATAAAAAATGTTACAAAATTGTCCAACATAAACTCTTCATCCTCTTCAGACATATTTTTCTCTGCAGTAATAAAAGCAACAGACATGTCAGCCATAAATCCACTCTGGCATTTGCTGTTTAGGAAAAAGACGTTTTCATCTGCTTGATCTAGAAGCAGCGAGAAACAAAATTCTTTATGAAATAGATGCTTAATGCAGAAACAAAAAATACTGTAAGAGGTGGAGGAGTTACTGAAGGTGGATGAGCTGAAGTACCTGAGATCAAAGCAATGTCAAAGGAGAGCTGTAACAGAAGGATAGTCGCAAGAGAGACAAGCAAGGTGAACAAAATGGTTGTACAGTACAATGCTGCTAGCGAGTGTACATAATGCTGAGATAGAGGAAGATAGTGACCAAAAGAAGGGAGCAGTAAAAGTCTAATAATAAGAAAAAGGATTAAAAGGAAAGCAGTGTGGATTCTATTTTTATTCACGCAATTTGTAAAACCAAATAATTCTAAATCTCATCCTTTATTGAGACTGGATCACCACCTGTAGCAGCAGTTTTAATGATCTGAGTGAGGATGTCTTTCGGGACATCGTCTCCGTTTTGCATGGCCGTCCTTCTGTCTCTTATCCACTGAGCTCCGGTAGTGCGCAGCAGGCGACAGGCTTTCCTCACCTCGTCGATGAACGGCCAGTTCTTTGGTTTGAACTGGAACGGCAGAGTTTGTTTCACCTTGATGTGAGGCGGAGGGGGTTTTGTTCGCATAAACTTCATTTAAAGCAAATCTAAAGCGTTACCTGGAATAAAGAGTCTCTGACTTGATACACTATCCCTTTCAGACAAGTCTCGATGGCTTTGGGGAAAGGCGAGTTGTTGGACAGGAGATCTAAATCAACTCCAAATGCAACCTGGAATATGTTAAAGCAACACATGTTTACAACGACAGCAGTGTGGTTATAATCAGAACGTCTTACATCGAAGGAGGGGATGTAATACAGACGGTACCTTAGCGATGACATCGAGCGTGACAGAGTTGACAAGTTGAAGCATGTTGGCCGGTGTGCTACTGTCAGCTAAATCTGAGAGTTTATCCATGAGTTTCTCCGCTCTTTCATTGAAGGTCCCCATTAGACCTCTCAAGTACCTGAAAGAGAAGATTCAGACTGAGAAACGTCCCTTAAAGCCTCTCAGACTTCATGTCACCAGACAGTGGAACGAATCCAAACTGGAGAGATGTGTTGTACAAATGAACCGGACAAGTGATTTCTGAGTACCAATTCAGAGACTAACTTACAAGGTGCTAAAAGCAGGGTCCATGATGCGTCGCTGTTTGTACCACGTCTCATGATCGATTGCAGTGACCAGACCGGTGCCTATAAACCTGGGAAGGCGACCGGTGAAAGAAAACGACAAGAATATGATTTGGAATGTAAATAACCACAGACTTCAATGTATTATAAAAGATTTTAAATGATGTGGAAGAACGAGGTCAGATCAGATGAGACCAAAATTGTTCTTTTGGTCCAAGAAGAATGAATAACAATTTAGACATCTGACGTGCAAAGCTGGTAGAGATGTAGGACTTGCAGCTGTAATTGCAACAACAGGTAGTTTGTCATAACCTCTGACCTAATGTTTGTGCTCTAGGATGTTGTATGTAAAACAATCCTCTGAGACATTAGAATAACAGTTTGTAAATTTACTATCCAAGTATTTTACTAATTACGCAACTTCCAAGGTGAATTGGTTGTACTGGATTTCATTTTGCAGTATCTAAGTAAAGTGAACTATTTACACAAGCACGCCACACTTCTAAGATTATTTGTGAGACGTTGCAAAAGCTATGCTGTTCACTTCAAAGTCAGGAATTTTGTGCTGATTTGTCAGAGATGCTGAGGTTTGTGGTTGGAACTTGTTAAAATGTATAAAAGGTCAATTGGTGTAATTTTTTTTCTAACAGTTTAAGTAAAACCAGTTTCACAACCTGATTGTTTCTTTGGTGTATATGTAATACGATTCAAAAGACAATAATGACATTGAACTACCTTTGGCCAAAGAGATTAAACATTCGCTTGTAGAGGAATCGATCCTTGGGATACTTAGAA